AGTAGGTACGTTAAGTTGACGTTCTGTTTCCCGATTAAATAATCATAAGTTCGAGTTGCGAAGACAAGGAGAAATTCTCTGCTCAAGGAAACGAATCATAAAGAGAATTCTAATCGAATCGAAGACTTCTATAATTTAATACTAGCAGTGTTAATTTAACGCGTCAAACTAAACCCTTTTATAAGATTTCATGTATGGTTTCTATTTCTATGGTAGCACCAGTTTTAAGATACTATAGGATACTTAATTCCAAATTTCTTGAATAAAGGCGACATCGATAATATGGGCGTAAATTACAGAACTGGATAAGATCCTTTGAAATAAATTGCGAGAAGAAAAGTAGGTACGTGTTAAAATTCACAATGCATTTGTACAAATGAACCAACTTCTTACCGGAATACGACAAGATGTTATCGCGAAAAAATATTTAATCAGACATAGCTTCACCTATACGGTGAATTATAGAGCGAGAAATTATCCAGGTTGACATGTATCAGAAATGTCAAATAATACTGAAGGGAGTTTTGGACAGGATTTAAAACAAAAATAATTCATGAAGACACCAATACCTTCTAAAGCAGTTCAGCTCAACGTTATCGGCTACCCTCGACGAAGTTACAGTTATGCATAAATAAAAAAAATCTATTCGAATTTGTAGAAAAATGCCTATTTTCGCAGCAGGCAAGAAGCATAGAAGGTGGATTCTCCTATAGCTAAAAGTTTAGTAAAGAAAATTTTTGTCACTTAAAAAATATTATTTTGCCAGAAATGATAGCGTAAAAAAAGCAGTGGCGCCTTACATCTGGACCTCAGATTTCTGTATTTGTTTCGTGATAATTTGCATCTAATAGTTAAAAAGGTTATTGATCAGCCTTATATGTCTGACACACGCCGTCGACTTTTTTGATCTAACGCATGCCTATTTCCATCATCGTACGAACAAGTGTTACATGCGCATATAGAAAGTCAATAATGGTGCACAGCTAGGATTCAAACCTACAACTTCAGGGATAAGAGCCGCACGCTGAAAGTTATTAAGTTCTTTTCCGAGAATACGAGTACGTACTTTACTAAGTTTCTTTCATACCTAATAACTATATTCATAAGCACATATAAAATCTCCTAAAAAATTGAATGCACTTCTATAGTACAGATAGGGCTGTATAATGTTCCAATATCTTGTGAACTCTTTATGAAATCTACTAGCAAGGGAATAGAATAAATTATACCTCACCCCATTTCAAACGATTACGAGCAACTTTTCTGTATGAAATTTAAAATTTATGTTTACAGCGGCGGAATAATGATGCTGTGTTTATAAAAATCCGGAACACGAAAAACAAACTAAATGAGTTCTGACTTCAGTGGTTACTTTTTTTGGCGCTTTCAACTTTAGCTAGCAGAATGAATGGAATTGACGGTCCTAAAAATCTTTTTCGCCGCGGGTAATAGGTATATTTCGACTATGATTTTAAATTACATTCCAGAAAAAAAAATTTTTTGGAAGAAGCGAATAACTTTAGTTGATTGCATTAATTGTATCATCGTTACTGTTTTCCCTCAGCAATCTTTCATATTTTATCGGGTTTCTCTTGAACGTTCTCTCTTCTCTCTGCATTAACAAAAACAAAGACATGCATTATCAATACCTACAAATGATATTCATTTCACATTTAATGTTCAAGAAAAATAATTTTTATTAGTAACACACATTTCATAGCTAACTTTCGTAGTAGTTGTATATGATCGCACTAATACAGAAAAATATAATTATTATAATAAAAAACTAACGGTTTTCATAACGGAACCTTTTTTCGTAACGGTTCATTTTTACTAGATATTAAAGCATTAATCTATTTCAATAGATACCTCTTGACTAAACTACTACTTGATATCAAAAAATCGGTGTTATTTTTCACATAAAATACAATTTTACGAGACAAACCATTATGGCCCGTTCGTGTTCATCATAATATTATATTGCTTTAGTTTATCGAACGCTATACCTACCCCGTCTAAGATATTGAGAAGATTCCCTTGAGAGTGGTGCAGCTATCTGCTAACTTACGTTCACTTGTGTTAATTTCGTTAAGTTAACAAAACTTATGAACAATTCACGTTCAAAGAAATGTTACTAAGATAATGATTTTATTAAAATATCCCACTATATGAATATACACAATATTGTTTCATACTTTCCGACTTTGCGCTTATTTGCCTGACGCAAATCAAATTGGTCCTAGAATTATAATTTCAATAATCCAAGAATTTCAGTTTATTTTACACTAGCCTTTACTTGTATGAGGCTGCACTCACCTGGTTCAATTAATTACCTATAAAAAATATAGTCACCCGATTCCCTACGAAACTGTCATTTATAACACAGATTTCCCCTATTGGGACCAGACCCAAAATTACCTCGACCGTCAATGTAAAGTAACATGTTTGTCAAACAGTTTAGCCGTTGCGAGGTAGATGTAGATCAACCCAACCTTTTCGCATTTGAAGTACTAGTATACATTAATTTTGTATTCCTAAATTTATTTAAACGTAATTTTCATATAAAACAGAATATTTCCCTGCAGGCAGAAAGCATAGGCTACAAACAAATCTATACAGCATTCTCCGATCGTGTTCAGAATTAGCATATTCATACCCCATTCCGTTTCTGATGTCACTACGTGAACTAAAATTGCTTTGTTACAAATCCTATCTAAAATATTAAGGAAATTGTGGTCAAATGTAAAATGCAAGGATCCATGGCTATCTATCGAGATAATTTACTTAAGTATAAGACTGTCGTAAGCGAAAGTAACATTTTGAAATTTCGAACAATGTTGCACTAATGTAGAGGATAAATTCGTCTGGCATTGTTTTGAAGTTGAAATGGTTGTTCTAAACAGCGCAGTGGTTGCGTGTTCCATGGCGTAGTACCGTGCAACTGAATAAGTAAATGCCCGAATAAATCAAGTTAATTGCGTCGGAGCACCTCCTCGTATGTAGCAGCAGTCCTCTAGTTCCCTTTTTGGTAGGCAACTTTCGCTATTATTTTCTAATGAGATTCTTCGTTAATATAATAATGCCCTTAAAAATTTGTAACAATAATTATAATATTGACTTTTACTCAATACAAAAAACAACAGAACACACCTCTAACTTTTGTTTAATTTCGTTTTTATTCAATCATGGCGAGTATTACTGAGCTTATAACTACTAACAAATTATGCTTCTATACCCGGTATGTTTCTGTACATTGTGTTCTTATAGTTTGTGTTTATAACGTTTTAAGAATTTATGATATTTTACGTATATCGCGTTAGTTAATATAGACTACCTCCGTGACTCATTGGTTAACATATATAAAAATCCAAAGGAACCTCTCATTGTTCTACATTGTACACTTACGTGATTTAAGTGGTAAGGCAACTGATTCCCTGGCTAGCTTGTTACTGCAACCATCTTTCGCGCTTTTAACTTTTAATAATTAACTCACATTCTTGCATTCTATATACCATTTGAGAGGGATAGAATTTCCGAAAATCCATACGTTATTGTTCTCCTTTAAATTAATTTACAGTCAACATATCTTCTTATGCAAGATATACTCAATCTTTTTTTTTTGTCTTTAGTCAATTATTCAAAAAATATATTATTATTCATGGATTTCTATTTAAAGATCTTTAAAATGTTAAATTAGTGAGTCCTATGTTACTTATGACTTTACTTTATCCATTCAAATGCAGAAAATTCATTTTAACATTCAACACAGTAATAAAAGTTAGAACTGACTTGGTATGTAACATACTTATTTTAGCGCATGTTAAATTGTTTTAGTTTAATCAAAAAGCAGAAACAATATGGTCTAACATCTAATTTGAGCGTTCCAAAGCCAGCCCGAATTTCTAAACTTCTAAAGTTGAAAACTAATAATGCTACTAGTATTACGTTGTTGGAAACAAAAACTGCTTGCCCCTTCTTGACTTTCGCAATTTGCTGAGCGAGTCTATACCTTCTATATATGGTTCTATTTGCAGACTAGGACTTAAAACATCATGGCAGGTAATCGGTGTGCATGCTCTTAATCTCATATCTATTTCTGCTAGCCAATTTACTAAGCTAAACGTATCTTCCTTCTTCTAACTTCTCTCTCTCTCTCTCTTATTTCAAATTCTGCACCTCTTTTTTTTCTAAGTGAAAAAAATAAGAAATCCACCAGAAAATCACCGACGTATCTCAGACAGACCTTGCGTTTTAAAAGAAAAAATATTCAATTAAAATTTAACTAGTATTAATTATTGTGTATAAGATTAAAAATAAAAAGTCAAAGTCAAAGTGACAACATCAAATATTTTACTTAAGTTTTTTTTTAAATTTATATATAATAAAAATTAAAATATAATGGCGTTAAACAAAACCAATCAAATTTAAATTACGTAAAATATAATGTACGAAAGTTTGAGTTTGAAACCTCTTTCTAATACATGTAATTTCTTCGTGCATTTAAACATTTTTAAATCAGACCAAATAGATCAACCCCATACTACATTTATGAAAGAGCCATTTTCGAGTTTTAGGCAAACGAACAGCAATTCGTTTTTTATATATTTATATGTTTATTTGAGTTTATTTTTCCTATCTTAAGTGTTTTATTGGATATCAACCATAATCACGGAGTATACTACATGTCGCTGGCAACTAGCTTAATTAGCCGTTCAATTAACAGCCTAGCCTTTTAACTAAACAGTGCCGTTTAACTAGCGGCCTGAAAGATATATGGCCGTAGCGTTTGTTACAACATTTAATAAACTGGCTAGTGGCTGTCTAATGCTTAGACCGTTCGTAAGATAGTGACTATGTGACATAAATAAAAAATATAAAACATCTGATATAAAAAAATATTAATTTAATAAGTTATAAGTGTAACAATATTACTGTTTTGGAAATAATGAGATCCAATATCGTAACCTAATTACTAAGTACACATATAAGTAGCAATTTTGTTATTTGTTAATACAACTTAAACTTCCATGGCATTTGGATCCGCAAAGAACTTTGTTTTTACAACAAGCACATCTATTATTGCGACATTAATTCACAGCAGGCTAACAATTACATTTTCGGAATCCCTGGCCACCGAAAGGTGACTGACTTGCCACAGCTTCTCTCAAAGAAATAAGGTGTTCTGATATTTCATCATCTATACTTTTAACTATATAGTTTTCAGTGTTGTCTGTATCCGAGTACTGCAACTGTTGCCGTGAAAACCAGTTTTGAATAGTGCCATACTTAGTTCCAAATTTATGAACGCCCTTACTTATATCAATAACTTTGTCTTGAATATTTTTCGCGTGATCAACTTTGGGTATGCTTACCAAAACACCATTACCAATATTTAACTGAGGCAATTTTTTAACGGTAGTGTCAATCATATTTTCGGCTGCACCTTTAAATCCTTTGTGCGCTTCATCTCTCTCTGAATTTGTATCCTGTTCAACCTGACACATAACATACACCACTTTAGATCAATGCCGCTCTGTATGCACCGTTATTCTACATGATGCATTATTGCAGGAGTGACATTTGCGCGCTCCAGAGACTTCTTTATGGTAAACTGCACAGGTGAGGTTTGATTCTAAATTTTCAACATTTTCCATCACGCTTTCATTGTAGTTACAGTTATAATGTGTAGCTGACTCTCGCTCTGTTAGAGTTCTTAAATGTTTCTCCGTTTCCATAGTTAAAAGTATAGATGATAAAATTTCAGATCCATTTAAACCCGTTTCCAAATAATGGAAGGACACCTAAAACGGGTTTACTTCCAAATAAAGCTTTATATGGAGATCTTGCGATTATTCGATGGAATAAAGCATTTATTAAATATTGCACGAAAAAGTAGCCACCCAGACCAGTGTGATGTTTTTTTATCATCCACGCTTCCAGCATATTTTTAAGATCTTGATTGCTTCTCTCGACACTGCCTTAAATTTGAGGACGGCACAAGCTCACATGAACAATTTTGCACTGAGGCATCATTACAACTAATTCTTTTATTACATTTGCAAGAAATTCACGGCCATCTAAAAAATTTAAGCTCTTTTAGTTCTAAGAGGACGTAGATTCAAAAATTTGGTTGCGTTATCCTGTTAGTTTAAAAGCCACTTAAACTCGCCATCGGGACATGAAAAATCCGAATCCGAAAAAAAATCCGAAAAATCCAGAAGGTCGACTTGTCCTCTTAAATTAAAATCACCCGAGACGATTGGCTTCGTGACAATAGCTTTTCTTGGTGCATTTCTTTTAGTTTCACAAATAGGACACAAAGACACAAAAATTTCTACTGCCTTCTTGGAAATATTATATCTATTCTTTCAGTCGTAAAGTATTTTATCTTGCCCACCATCACCGCACAATTTATGGACATCTAATAAAATATATATATAATGTTCTCAGTTGTCATAATATCGTATTTGCTCAACCAAAAATAATCCATATCCATCCTCCGCTGTCCTGAACTTATGGCCACCTGAGCCTTTCTTATGTCATTTTTATGAGATCCTGCGACGATTTAGGATGGTGATTTCCTAAATCGTCGCTTATAAAACTAAGAAAGCCTGAGTGAGCAAAATGTGTAGGTTTGGCTCGGACAGAAGAAATCAATTATTTTAAACCAGCTTCAGCAGCTGGCCAGGATGGGCTGTCACCTCATCTAAAAAAATTAACCTGAGTGTTGGAGAAACAGGTACTCGTCTTTTAGAAGCACTAAAAACCTTGTGAATAATATGCATTGCTGTGAGATGAAACCAGCTATATTGCCCCTATTTTGAGCAGTGTTGGCCTGGTGGCTTCACCGTACGACTCTCATCCCTGAGGTCGTAGGTTCGATCCCCGGCTGTGAACCAATGGACTTTCATTCTGTGTGCGCATTTAACATTAGCATGCCAAAAAAAGTCGAGGGCTTGCGTCAGGCACAGAAGGCTGATCACCAACTTGCCTATTAGATAAACAAATGATCATGAAACAGATACAGAAATCTGAGGCCCTCACCTAAAAAGGTTGTAACGCCATTGATTTATTTTTTATTTTATTTATTGCCCCTATTTTATATAGGGCAGACTTGGTGACTCTTTAAAAAAAGATGGGAGAAGATTAACCTCCAAAATTGCAGTCCATTATATAATTAATAAATTGAAAAACTCTCGCACCTTAGAAGCTTAGATAAGGAGCAGGAACTAGCCATCATTATTCACGCTTAGTGCCCCAATTCAGAATTTCAAAATATCGAGGACTTAACGTACATCTCTTGATGTGATGTCAATGTCTCCTCACAGATTGCTTGGGAAAAGAACACTTCCCATCGGCATGGAAGACTGGACGGCTGGTGCTAATTATATAGGACGGAAAGCCCAAGACACCACAAGCTGCAAGCAAGCTGTCCGATTGGATCATTGCCGGTGATCCGTTCTTGGACCGCTGCTATGGAACATCGGCTACGACCCTATACGAGATACTCGCGGGAGTGCCAGCTATCTGTTACGACGACGACAACTGCTGCCGTAGCCAGAGTAGTGTCGAGGTCAAGGCGTACTTCGGGACGCTTGCTACCGCAACCTTATTACCACAGCAGGTATGCTCACACGGATAATGCCAAAGGCGGTGGGGCCACCTCAGCTACCGACTCACCTACCTACAGGTACTGTAGGTCCGGACACGGAACGGCACCAACCTGCCACCATTGTGACGCCGGCGTTGCCGATGATGCAGTCTACTCTCTAAAGAATTGTTCAGCATGGAAAGTTAAAAAGAGGCTACTACTGAGCGTGCTACAAGGCGATTACGCTACTCTCGATAACTTTGTGAGACTAGACACGACATCATACGCCGTTCTCTTGCCTCCATCAATATTACAGCCATTTTGGAGCCAATACGCATCGCTAGGCACGATGGCAAGCTGCCGGCTTTCGGCATCCCGTCTTTGATTACTTATACGATTGGCTTTGGTATGGGATGCTACTTGTGTGGCTACTTTTGCCCCGTCTCACTTCCCTCGGACAAACACAAAAGCTGCAGCAGCCGGAGAGCAGGGGGAAAATAATAAACGGCTAAAATATAAGAGTCTATCCTTCAACTATCATTTGGTTCCCATTGGAGTGGAGACTTCTGGGCAGTAGGTTTCAAGAGCACAGGCGCTAATTAATTTAAATTGGCGCCATTCACCATTCACTCCAGAGATGGTGCTTTCCTCGCTCAGTAAGTATCGCAATACAGCAAGGGAATTCTGTATGCTGTACAAGTCTAAATATTAGAAAATTACACCAAAAAGTTAGCTAACATAATTGAAATGCCTCAATGATAAATGGATGTTAAATTAAACCTGATAGAAATATAAAATGCACGCGATTCACAATTCGCATACGATGTTAGTGTTTCCCTAAGGGTTAAATTACATACAAAATGAATTTCTTTCTCTCGTATTCATTCCTCTTTACACGTCAACTTAGACATATGAATCTGTGAGGCTTTTGTTTTGCAGTTTTTTTTTAATGGCTCTGGCACGATTTGTGCATTAGCCAGCGTCAAGTATAAGATTTTTTTTTATAATTCGTGCTTGTCTTTAGAAATTCGACCGTGTCCTCCATGTACGGTTTAAGCACTCGCCCGGTACCGCACAATCCAAAGGCCGAGATCAAATTTAAATTAAATTAAAACTTGCCCTCGAACCGGGAATCGAACCCGCTACCCCTCACCTAGCTGCCACTTAATAAGACCGCTAGGCTATGAGGCCCCTTGTTTTGCAGTTGTATTTCTCTTAAGCCAATATTTGTAAATTTCTCCCAAAAATTCCGTCAAAACTACATTAAATATGTATCTATGGCTAATACAGCCATCATTGGTCAGTTGCCTCATTTAATATAACTTTATCTGTTATGAACCGTAATTATTTCCTGTAATATTTAATCGTAGAAATCATCACTTCTCTCAATCAATCTCTTTGCTGAAGTGTTTGTAACAAATGATCTAGGTTAGAAAAGGCAGATTATCAATTTTCTTGAGCATATATATGAACGATTCCATTCCAAAAAAAAAATTATGAAATATGTATGTGCTCGATACTCGTTTTTTGGATTACGGATCTTTAAATAGTATATAGGTACATATAGGTAAACATTTACAAAATGAGTGATATTTTTCTTTGTAAATTATAGTTTCTTTGAGTAACAAAACTAATTTCTTTGAATATGATAAAGGCTATAAGTGTTGAATTTGAACACTCATACCCTTTCTATAACAAATTAGGCGTACGTATATCGTAGATAAGTTTTATAAAACCTTTACCTTATTATCAGAGACGTGTGGGACGAAAGTTGAATTGCCACAATAATAACAATTCTATCTGATTCTTGAAAATAAATATTGGTATTGGTTCGGTTTTAAAATGAACAATAATCACGAACGGGAGTTTGTAGCCGCTTAATTTGGTGGTTTCCATGCCGGTGGGTAATTAAACGATTGTTTGCCATTTTGTTATAATTAATGTTGGCGAGTTTGATTTGCGCTAATTATCTTTCATGTATTAAACATTAATTCCGTTCTATGTATGGACGAGATAATTTGATTTTTAGAAACTGCTGTTAGCTAATTACGAGACTGTATGATCCAATTTGATCAGTTATTTTATTAATTGGAACCGAAATTTGGATTAAACTAGATCAAGCTAACATATTTGTGCATGTAGCGTGATTTTCTATATAGTTCAAAGAGAGATTGTGTATCAATTTTATAGATATTATGGCTTAAACTACTACTTACTATCGTTATACGAAATGACCTTTATCACATATAAAGAGTGTAAACATACAATGTAGAATTACAAACTACTTTTATCTACTAAAATATATAAATAAACAAACCATTATAAAGACAAAAGTTAAACAATATTATAAAAATAACAGCAACAGTAAAATGATAGAATTATAGATAAATGTAAAAACTTAATCAAATATAACAAGATAATAAATTGGCTTTACTACAGCAATTTATTTTTCCAAACGTTGCTAAAATTGACGAAGCGAACTATAGTCGCAAAAGCCTCAGTTTCGAATCCCGCAAGAGTTGACTTAATAATAAGAACGAGCCGCGAAAATCGCTCCGAGTAAAACGAGGCCCCGGGGAAAAGTCCCGATCGGCCTCTTGCTTTCTTTAACTTCGTCTAGCGTAGCCAACTTATCCAGATTACAATAGACTTACGCTCTTATGGCTAAACGAAAAACTTCACCCGTTAAAGTGTTTCCGTATTTTTTGTAGAGTTTAAAACGTTAGCTTAAAGAGCTGAGCTAGTTTTAAACAATGCTGTGTGCTATTTTTGTTTGATGCGGAATTTACTTTCATTTCCGCGCGGGAACTACTTAAGTATCTTCATGGTTCTGTGGAGCTAATTAATTTGTACGGTCATAGCTGAACAATATTTTGTTGTACAGAATATTCTAATAGGGAGAATAAAACTGTT